TTTTTTTTCGAATTTGAAGTTTTTTTGAATAAGTTCGTAATCTATGGTGAGAATAACAATCGTTTAAATTAAATATTTACGTCAGCAACATAACCGAAGTCCTCATGAGTGGGGACACGAGCGGGAGACTACTTAAATACGACCCGAAAACAAAGCAGCGCACGGTGGTCCTAACGGGGCTCGCGGCCCCAGCAGGGGTGGCCGTGAGCCGAGATGGCTCGTTCGTGGTGATAGCCGAGTATTTGGCGTGCCGGATCACGAGGTTATGGCTCAAGGGCCGGAGGGCCGGTCAGTCGGAGGTTTTTGCGGAGCTCCCGGGAAATCCAGACAATATCAAGCGAACAAGATCGGGCGATTTCTGGGTGGCCGTTAACATACAAAAGTTGTACCCTAATGTGACGTGTTTCCCATTAGGTCAGAAGATTAACCCCAGAGGAAAAATTACACAGACAGTGAATTTCTATAATGAATATAACTCAACGTATATTACCGAGGTGCACGAGCATGACGGGTCATTGTACGTCGCGTCGGTTTATACAGGAGACGTCGGGGTTTATAGGGGATTAAGATGTTGAGCATATATATATTTTTTTTGAACTTAGATGTAATATTTTGATTTGATTTGGATCACTAGGGAGAGGATTTTGATTATTGTTGATTATTATATATTATATTCCGGATTATTTTATCATTTTTTTTTTTTTCGGTACAAGGAAGGAGGCAATAAGCCTAGATCACATTAAACTAAGACTCGGCGTTCGTGAGAAACTCCTCGAAGGTCATGATCGAGCCAAGCTCCGAGACTCGGGGGGTGAGTCGCAACCATGCTCAACCCTAAAGGAGACGAGGCGGCGAGGCCCGCCATATGATCTGCCGCAAAGTTGGCCTCTCGATGGACATGTCGGATTATTTTATCATTTATCTATTGCTCAAGTATATTTTATTTTGTGAGTGGTGAAAGTAGAGATTCAATTTCCCGGATAATGGTAACTTGCAAGCCAATGGTATTAAATCGCTACTCACTATAAATAGAATTGTGGCCACTCACTTGGGATAGAGTGGCCTAACTCTCCGAATCCTAACCAATACATATTTACTTATTTTATTTATGAAGCAAAAATTAAAAAAAAAAAAAAAAATCACAATTAGGTGGCTCCGTTAGAATGACAATAACTGCATATAAATTACCTTACAGACAGATCTGTAAGGTAATCGATCGATCTATGTTTTTCGGTTATATCATATATGTAATGGATTATGTCGAGAGTTCAAAACTTAACATCAAAGATCGATACTTGCTAACCGTACAAAAACTCGATCGCGAAAACTCGGTGAAATAGTACTCAACGAGAAGTGAATAGTTTATTTTTGTTCCCTATTTTGCTTGCAAATCAGCAGAAAACAAATCTCACCAACTCCTCAAGAGATGCAAGACTCGGACACGTTTGTCATATCGAAAGTTCTAAAAAAAAATTGCTAGTCAACAATAGTTTTATTACCTTCCAAAGAAGAAAACAACACACTCCAATATTATTATTACTAGTATTCGACCATGTGCATTTGCACAGATGTGAAGTATTGTGAGTTATTTGTATGCATATAATGATTAATTATTTTTCTTTCACTTTTTTGCATGCCAACATTTACAAATAAAGAAGTTGGAATATTTACTTTTTTTTTTTTTTTAAATTGCGTTTATCTGATTGGATGTAATGCATATTTTGGGACGTTTTTTTTAATTATTTATCATTTATTTAGGAATTTCAAATTTTAAAAAATAATTTAAATGTAACCACAATAATAACATCTAATTACATTGTACGATCAACACATTATATGGTCAACTGTCACTAATAAAAAGTTTAAAATGATTTTTGTATTTTTGAAGTGATTAGTATTGATTATTTAATAATTAAATAAAAAGATTAAATACATAAAAAGTAACGGTTTTTGAAGGGAAAAATATTAAATTGCCACATAGGTAAAATTAATTAGGTTTTATTAAATGCTATTGGCTAGTAATTATATATATATAGATTTGCATAAATAAGCACGCGTACTTGAGTTGAGTGTGTATACTTTAGGGCTTGATTGTTTATGAAATAATTTGTTCAATTTGAGTTATTTTGGTTAACTATAGTTAATTTTGAAAAAAGTGTATGGTTAGTTGTAGTGGAATTTTAAAAATGTATTAAAATAATATTTAAAATAAAATAATTAAAATTGATTTGATGTAAAAGTAAGAGATAAATGATTGAAAATGGTTGGAAATGATAGGTAGTTAAAATTATGTGAGTGAATGAATAATGAATTAAAGTTGATGTGATGTGTAAGAATGATTGTTTGTATTATTTAATTATATAAATAATATTAAAGATAGTGGGATTGAGTTAAAGTTGAGTTAGATTTTGAGTTGAAATAAAAGTGAGTAAATTATTTTGTAAACAATCACCCCCAGTTTCCACCCAAACATATCAGTACATGAGCAAGAACTTATTATGATAATCATGAAATCATTTGTTTTCATGTCAGTTTTATTATCTTGATTGCCAAACAGTGCCTTGACCCATGTATTTCAACATTCTCAAGGCGTGCTTAGATACAAATATATGAGCTGAAACGGATTTGTACGGTTAACCAGAGTCTAATTATTTCACGGCAATTCTAACGGATATTTCAATATTATTGTTTCTATTGGAACTTTTTAATGGATTCCAACAGAAATTCCAACAAAAATATTCTTTTGGAATGAGTTTTTCATTGGAATTTCCGTTGAATTTTGACGTTTTCAACGGTGAATTTTCCAACAGGGGTGGAAATAAAAATTTCAACGGAAATTGCATATTCCAAGTGAAATTCTTACGGTAAAAAACTGTTGGAAATATTACTGTTAGAATCATCAAATTCCATAAAAAAATCCAATGAAAAAAACACATTCCAACGGAATATTTCCGCTGGAATTTTTGTTGAAACCATTCCAACGGAAACTATACCATTAGAATATCTTTTAAAATTTCTATTGGAGCATATTATCATAGGATTTTTCGTTGGAATATAACATTTTTCGGTAGTGAGTTAATTTGAAAAAAAAAAATAATAGGGTTAGATATTAGTGAGATTATGGATTTATATTCATTTAAAGAATATTTAAAATAAAATAATTAATGTTGATTTGATTTAAAAGTAGGAGAAATAAGGGGTGAAGTGATAGTTAGTTAAAATTATGTGCGTGAGTGAATAGTGAATTAAAGTTGATGTGATGTGTAAGAGTGATTGATTGATATAGTTTAATTATATTGATAATATTAATAATAGTGAAGTTGGATTAAAGTTAATTAGATTTTAAGTATGAATTCAATATGGATTGAGTTTATTTTTATCCAAACACACTTTTACAAACATTGGGCCTGAAAATTGGCCGTGTGCTGGAGGCCGGAAAAATTTCAAAACTAGTCCCCCAGGTATAGGGTGGTGACATTTTTAGTCCCAACGGAATCCAAAAAATATTAATAGTCCCGCATCTTTTAAAAAATGATCAAAAGTAGAACTTTTTTCAAATTTTTGGCCCAGAAAGCCACGTCGCACACACTTGGCGGGACTATTTAGTATTTTCTGAATTCCATTGGGACAAAAAATGTCACGTCACAAAACCTGTATGACTAGTTTTGATTTTTTTTGTACTCAGCCACGTCAGATGAATATGGCCACGTGTGTACGACGTGGCATTCCGGGTCGAAAAATTGAAAAAAGTCCTACTTTTGATCATTTTTTAAAAGCTGCGAGACTATTAATATTTTTTGGATTCTGTTGGGACAAAA